GGACATGTTTCTTGTTAATCTCTTCGAAATGGCCATATTTAATGTCTGAAAATCAGCATATCTCAATTATTTGAAACCCGTATAAAATAAAGTCATTGAAAGTATATTTGAATATCCATTCTTCGAGACAACTGTGAATTCATGAACATCAAACAATCTTTGGAAAATATGTAGACTCTATAAATTGAGTAATTTCATATTGTCAGTTCAATCAAAATAAAAATTCCAATAAGAATTTTTATTCAAAAAACAATTTCGATCATAAGATGAGATGATATAAAAAAAATTTGTTGTCAAATACAGTTCGAATTTTGGGAAAAATTCGCACTACTTCGTGTTATTAATATTATCAATTGTTTTGCAAATGCCGTCGAATAGTTACACTTGAAAAGTAATATGAGAAACAAATTAGTAAAAAATGCAGAACGAATCGACGAGTCGTTTGTCTCTTTTTTAGATTTTTCTTGCTCATTTCGGAGATTTTTACCACATGTTTCAGAAACAGTGAAATGTTGATTGAGTGCCAGTCTATTTCAAAATCGAAACTGATTTCAAAATAAATTGAAAACTTTCCATTTCAATGGTCATAAGAAAGAATCATTTTTATTATTAGATTTTTGGGAACAATGAAGTTGAATTGAGTCAAATCAAGTTATACATACCTTCCAAATTATTTTTTTCCACTGGAGAAGAATTGATGGCTGATACAATATACACCACTACAAGGGTGAATAACAAAAAAATCGATGAGAATTTCATTTTGCTACCTGACAACAATTATAATTCTTTCAAATCTGATTCGAATTATAGTAACTCCATCAAGCTCATATATTTATACTTCTCAACAAGGTCTTATCTCAATATCTGAAGTGCAAGAAAAAGTCCTTACCTATTGTTTCAAATCCTTTGGTGGCGACATATTATTCGCTTTTATTGACACAAACAAATTTGGTTCCTACTTCAATGATTTTGAAAACAAGTAGTTATCGTTTGTGTTGAAATATATATTGTCATTTTGAGGACACTAATGTATGTCGAACAATTGATAAGAAAAGCAGTAATGTGAAGTGTTGTGTTTACTGGGTATCTACATTTCATGAAATGATCCAGTGTTGAAAGATCTTTCAGTATGAAAAAATTATTTGGAAAATTTGTCTTCACGAACAGAACTTGCAAAGATAATTATTCAAAAGGTTGTCATTAAGCTGGTTCTGATCTAAGCAACTAATTTAAATGAATTGATTGAAGATACATGAAATCAAATGTTTCAAAATCAAAGCTCTTTCAATATTGAAATTTTTCTGTGATTTAGAAACTGATCTTCATGAAAATAACCTACGAAGGACCTGTGGGATGGGCTACCTATCGGGCGCGTCCCCATGTGGCGGATAGGGGAACGGCCAGGGGACTGGAGGCCTAGGCCTTGTCCGGGAAGCCAATGTGGTCTTTTTTTTGGTACCTTAGGAGCTGCCTGACTTGTCCATTGAGTCCAAGTATCCAGAAAACACTGCATCCTCTTGGGATTATTGCGTTCATTCTCCCATCTTCTCATGACACCCATTCCATTAGTCTCGTTCCCTGTACTAGTTTGTACAGGTTCCGTGTTGAATGTTCGTCATATTCTTCTGGACGTAATACCTCCTGTGATTCAGTGCCTCACATTCGCATAAGATGTGTAGAGCTGTTTCTATCCCGTCGTTGCATAATCTGCACCTGAGGTATCTGTTGTACAGCCCCAGGTGTCCTCTAAGCAGACAATGACCGGTTAGTAACCCTGTCTGTAATATAATCCTCACTTCCGCCTGAAAGACGGATATGTATAGTCCTAGCGGATAGCTGTAGTTTGAATTTCTATCCGCTCGCTATATTCCAGCTCCCGTTTCATGTTTGGTCTTCGATCCTTCTGTATACCAGGTGCTTTTTCCAAACATGTTTTCGGAATGACTGATGGTCTTCCACTCTTCACGACTTATGATTTTGGTCGTGAAGTTTGTATTAAAGGTGTACTTCTGTGTCATGTGGTCCGAGCACATATTCAATATGTGCTCCTCCACTAGTTCCAAAATTTCTGTTCGGTCTGATTTTTTGTAGTTCGGTGAGTTTTCCATTCTGAATTGGCCCATCCTGGCCTTCCCCATCATCACAAAGTGTCAAGGAGGTAGATTCAGGAGTGTCTCCAATGCAGCTGTTGGGGTAGTTCTCATTGCTCCCGTCATTCCCAAACATGCAAGTCTTTGCACCTTGCCTAGTGCTACCTCCGCTTTCCTCTTTATCCTGTCCAAGTGTTGGTTCCAGGTCAGTTTGGAATCCAGAATTACTCTCAGATATTCAACCTTCCCCGACACTTGTATTTCTTCACCTCGAAGTTTTAGAGGTCCGATACCCTCCGTTTTAGTCCTCTTGGTGAATGCTACTATAGTCGATTTGGATGAGCTTATGTTAAGCCCTTCTTCTTCGGTCCATCTTGTTATAATATTCAGGGCCTGCTGTATGCATCCCTTCACTACATTATTGTATTTACCTTGGACTAAGATGACTAAGTCGTCTGCATAGCCTAGTGCTTTATACCCGTTGTGGTCCAAGAAACATAATAGCTCGTCCATTACAAGGTTCCATAACAGAGGGGATAGAACACACCCCTGAGGACAGCCCCTTGCTACCCGTCCCACGACTGTTTCCCCCATAATGGTTGTATATACCAATCTTCCCCTAAGCATGCAGTCTATCCACCTACAGCTTGTCTTGTCGATCCCTCTTCTCCTCGACGCCTGGATGATTGATTCTAACGACGAATTATCAAATGCGCCCTCAATGTCCAAGAAAGCAGCTAAAATTACTCCCTTGTTTCTGTAAATATGTTCTACTTTTTCTGTTACCCGACATAGAGCCATTTCTGTTGATATACCTGACCTATATGCATATTGGTCTCGATGTAATGGTCTGATAGCTAGTGATACGTCCCTGATATGCCTGTATTTCTATCGTTTTCAACGCAAATACATGAGACTGGTCTCCAGGCCTTCGCCGAGACCTGTCCGATTTTTCCAGGTTTCGGAACGAAGGTGGCCCTGATCAGTCTCCACTGTGGTATAGAAACATAGGAAGTTTTCAATCTCATTTTCCATTATATATATTGTGATTTTCTAAAAAAAATTCAAATTTGTTAGAGACACTGACACCACTACTCGCCAAAACAATTGAGTAAGTACAATCAGGGGAATCCTTAGTTCCAACTTGATGAGTCACTTTGAATATATCGAAAAAACGTTTTTTTAGTATTGATCTCTGATTACTGAGTAATTTTCAAATCAACATACACCCTCCAAAGTTGTGATCCGGAGCATCAAAAAATCAAGCGATTGGGGACTGATACTTTTCATAGAATTTAATTACATTTATAAGTATATTACCAGGAAAGTGACATTTATGATTTTACTTCCTCAGTTATTTTTTCGATAATGTAATCGAATTGAGATGCTTTAACTGTACCCACTTCTCAATACGATGTGGAATTAAAGTTACTATCTTCAGTATTCACAATAACGGATAATGATTTTGGTCCAAAAGATATTATTTTTAGGAACTCAGGTAATATGTCAATATGTTATGTAATGAAATTTCAACGAGAATAAGTTCAATAATGGTGAATGAATAACTTCCTGAAACTTGTTCTTTATTTTCTGTATGTAATATATCGTAGTCCATGTAGGAATCGTGGTTATTCTTTTAAATGTGGCAAGCATAGGCGTTGTTAGTTTTCTTCAGCTCAACTTCTGTTTTGCCAGAATATAATTGATTTTGAAAGGCCAAAATTGTACTTTTTCCTAGAAATAATGTTGTATTCTACCTGATTGTTCATTCAAAATCTACGTGTTTTACCCGACTTAATCATTCATTATTATTAACTACTGTTATATAAGAGATACCATCAGTAACTGATGAAGCTACCATGTAGCGAAATGCGTTTTAAATGTTCTCCAACATTTCTTTGGGGTATCAAGATCCATCTATAAACCATTAAATAATACTTAATAAATTCTCTGACAAACTTCAAACTCTATATTCACAGATTTCCTGAATTTAACCGTTTCTACTGAAAGAGTATTTGTGAAAGAGCTGTCTTGTTATTCCGTGTGTTGAGAAATGAAAATAGAACCGTTTATTTAACATTATTATTCTTTATTCATATATTCTTATACTTATATACACTCATTCATGAAATTCATGACATTTATAATTAAATATAACAATCATATAATTTTTGAGAATGACATGATATGTGCAATGAAGGCAATAATACTTTTGTCAATTCCAACCTTGCTATTGAAATTATGCAATCAAGGAATGATGCTCGTTTAACTGCTAGGCTTCAGCAAAAAGTTTTGGAGTACGTTGGAATTTCGACTTTCTCTGATCTGTTCATGACAAAAAAAATAAAATTTATATTGTTTCGATAACCGATAGTGTGAAAAACTGAATGAATAATATTATCATTTGATGAAAAACTCAAGAATAGAAAAAGAAACAGTATATTTCAAAAACTAAATCATTTCAGTTAGATATAATTAGGTAAAGAGGGTTTACCAACTCTTTTCTTCCAGTATTTCTTTCTTTCATAACTTGATTCTTAGATCATTTTTAACTCCTTCAACTCTGTTAGTCATCAGTTTTTTTACGTTTCTCTTAGCTTTGAAGCATTTTGTTATTAACGTCGTTGATGTCTGCAATAATTCCGTAATAGTTTCAGAAAGAGACGTTATCACTTGTCCAACTCAGATCTAATTAGGTGAGTTCTTGAATGAAAAGTTGGTGGTTCAACTATTCACAATTGTTGATGTGGACTTAATGGAAATATATGTTTCAACATAACTCTTTAATCGAGTATGGAATCTATTCATTATCTAACTTCGACAAGTCAATTGAAACTTCTAGGTTGACATATATCATAAACGGTGTAGATTCAGTTTAAATATTGATGTAATCATAAACTCGAGAGCCCTTCGGACTATAAATGATAGTCTTGATGATTATTCAAGCATAAATGGATGTCAGAAAGCGACTGAAAGTTCATTACTACATTTTTACTGAAGCTGGATTTATCAGTTCTTGATAATGAATTCACAAAAAGGTTTACAACTGTTTGCCAATGGGTCCATATAATTAATTATGGAAAGAAGTATACATGGCAGCTTGTTTTTGTAGAGTATGAACATTTCTCTAGCTATCTTCATAGCAACATAACCTTTTTGATATACAAATGGAAGGTTATGGGAATACTACATTAGTATAATGAAGTATCAGAGCATTTGCAGGACCTCTGAATGGAAATGTATCCATCTTATCAATGATGATGCAAAGGATCTGCAGATATCTTCTTCCTCAAAGAAATTATGTGAATTCTCTATTCATGCACCTTCATGAATTTATGCGCTTGATTTATTATTGCTATGCATTTGGGTATATAGAAGCTCGACAATATTATGAGTCTTTATGAGGATTCAATATTTGGGTTATAGATATATAACATATACGTCAATAAGTTGTTCAAATGACTAGTTTCATGGTTTTAATTGGGTATAACATTCTTTCCTTTCATACAATAATCGTAATCACCCAAAAAAAAAGACTCACTTCAAATAGAAAAATGATCACTGCTATCACGTAAACCATAAAACCAGCCATCCAAATCTCCTAAATATAATTTAAATATAGTTTTTGATACCATTAAGGTAATTTCTGCCAATGGGGTTCAACCCAAAAAATCTTTCTGTTTTGAGTACAAAATAAATATGCCTGTTCAAGATACATGAAAACTCCATCATATTGTAAGCATGTTCATCAATTTGCTTGACAATATCAAAAAAACTTGACTGCTCATACAGTTTTGCCTAAAAATAGTTGTTGATAATAATGTTGAAAAAATACATTAGTTCCTTACTCATTTATTTCGAATCAGATGATAATACCAAATAGTTGAATCATAGAACTGACGTATGAATATCACACAAATCATAGTATGCTAAAAAAAATGATAATCTATATTTATTGATACTGACTAATCAATGTTTTATGGAGGTAGTAAACAACCACATGGATATTTATCGTTACATTAGATCTGTGAGATAAAACTGAATGAATTTGTCAATCCCAATAAATATTGCATGTTTATAGTAGGGACAACGTAACATACAAATTGTAAAAAAAACATACTAAACAACAAATAAAAATAAACAAAACAACACATGAACTTATGTGAAACTACAAAACTGTCAATTTATTTCAAGATATAAATAAAGAATAGAGTCGAGCCTAAAACAGAATCTTGTGGAACTCCTCAGTTGATGGTTTTCGATGAACTCTTTTTTTTCCTTATATAAGTATACTGCTCTCTGTTGCTAAGATAATTTTGTAAATTGATGCCAATTGAGTTCAACTTTGCAGAGAAATGCCTTTCGCAAATCAAGTGATAATATACCATAAACATTATTTGAATCTAATTGAAGTTGAATCTTAGACACTATATCCAATGCAGTTGACTCTGTGTAACTTGACCTGCGAAAACCATATTGTCTACTCCAAAGAAAATCAATAATTTTTAAATATTTTAATAATCCAGTGTTCATCAGTTTTTCAATAATTTTTGATAGAATAGAAAGCATGGAAATTGGCCAATAATTACATTTTACATTGGGATCTCCATTTTTGAATAAGGGTGAAATTTTTGATATTTTACACAATTCAAAAAATATACCTGTTTCCAAGATGTATCGATATTTTTTTTCATATTTCACTACTTTGACATCTTTTACTGGAATCATATCGGAACCCGGAGACTTTCTTTGATTCAAATTATCAATAATTTCTTCTTCTGTGGGATAGTTATTGTTACATTAGATCTGTGGGATGGAATTGGTGAGTCTTGATGAAAATTCACGATGAACGTTTTGGTTTTTTTTTGAATGAAAAACACAAGCACTTCAGGAAAATCCTTAACGCGCTCACATCGGATTTGAATCGCTGGAGATTAAATCCATTTGGAAAAACGTTCTCAGGAAGTTTATTCCACACAAACGCAGTTCTCCAGATGAAAGCAGTGAAGTTCAAGGTGTAAGGTTAGGTTAGGTTAGTTCCAAAGAGAGTGAATCTATTCGACCCCCCACCGCAACCCACAAGGGTTTATTGTGGCTCACAACTATTCACACCCGACCATATAAACCCAGCTTCTTAATGAAACCGATTAGTTTGTATGGTGAGTGGTCTTTCAGGTCAGATGGTAGGACTACGGCTCCAGTATCAAGCTTCGAAGGGTAAATACACGCCTTGAAGTGAGCCAATCCTGGAAGATTCTGCCAGAAGTCCATAAATCTTCTTGCCATCCAGGTGTTCAATTTTTGTTTGGCAAAGCCGAAAGCGATGCCAATGACAGGTTCTGGTCCGATGAAGCTGCTTACAGCACCCTACTTTGGCAGGGAGTCAGCAGCCTCATCGCCTTCTAGGCCAGTATGGTCAGGAATCCAGACCAGAAACAATCTGTTAAGTCTTCCTATCGAGGAGAGTCGTTTTTGGCAATTCGCTACCAATGTAGACGTTGCTCTGTAGGAGCCAAGAGCTTCCAACGCCGCTTGACTGTCCGAGAATATCTTTATTGACATTATTACATATAATATGAGATTGGATTCTTCCAGTCTCTCAGAGGTGTGAAGAGAGAAAAAATTTCGTGAGAATTTAATGAGATAGTTTACAAAATCATAGAATGTGTTTCACTATAGAATGGCATTTTCAGGCTTCTCCAATATTCCGTGTACAAGACATACTGACTGCTGCAGTTAAAATGCTCATACTATTTCAAACTGGGAGTATGAATAAGTATGATGTTAATTTTTTAGATTGCTTGCTACCTCTATTTGAAAGATTCCCTCATCGTTCTGCATGGGAAAGTAGAAAGTCAAAATGTTTCTTTCCTAAAAATTATTCTCCAAAAAAATATACCTCTCTGAATTGAAATGAACTATATTTATTTCTATACAATATTCAATTCCAACAGCTGACTCATCGATACTAAATCTGTTTAGGAGATAGGAAAATGAAATAACAAAATCATTATTTCAATTACAATATCTAAAACTTTCATTATACTTATATAATCCACGATATCTTTTGGGTGAGTATTCAACTTAATCAATGAACGAAACTGATATCAAAGATTTGTTTCGTTCATTCAGTCGTAAAAAAGAGAATATTCAACTTTGAATTTGGGTGAAATAAATAATATTTATAATCATAACATAAAATTTGGGGAGAAAATAGTATTGCATTTGGGCATTGAAATATATGAGAACGTTCCAGAAAAACGAAAAATAAATGAAAAACAGTAATTGAAATTTTGATTCATATATTGCTTTTTTAGTTAGTAGGTAACTATGACTCAATTATCAACATGTGCTGTACACTTTATTGATTGCTCAATAAACAAATATTTTTTTAACTACTATTTATTTTCTACCCGGTATAAACATTCTTGGGATCGACGAAGATTTTTTTTATCATATTTCAAATGATGAAAGATATCAAACAACGTTGATTTCACAATAACCGATGGCAATCAAAATAAAATAATTATTTAGGTTGTTATCGACTTCTATGCCAATATGAAAGGCTAATTAGCTTTTTCATGTATCTTGATAGTCTTAAGATCACGTCTCACTTCACCGCTGCTTCGAGGAGACTAATCAGTCCCCAAAGTCAAGACTCACGCGATCATAAAAAAATAACATAACTAATTTCATATACTATTCTGAAATGCATGCACATTTGTGGACTAGATTGTCGCTAGATTCAACAAAAGTCGAATCACGCTTTCTCTGGCCTCGTTGCGAACAATTGTTCCACTACAGAACTATCTGCTAGTGTACTAATATCTCCTACATCTCTGTCATTCACGGCGATCTTCCTCAAAATCCGCCTCATTATCTTTCCTGACCTCGTTTTTGGTAGAGCGGGGGCATTTTGTATCATGTCGGGTTGGGCGAATGGGCCAATTTTTTCTCGAACGATAACATTCAATTGCTTGACTAGTTTCTCGTCGAAGACCGCATTTTCTGTCGTTGTTATGAAGCAGTAGAGGCATTCTCCCTTCACCGGATGAGGTTTCGCAACAACGGCGGCTTCTGCGACTGCGGGGTGTTCTGTCAAGATGGACTCTACTTCCGCAGTTGACATAAGATGGCCGGAAACGTTCAACATGTCGTCGACTCTTCCTGTCACCCAGAGATAACCGTCAGCGTCCCGTCTTGCCCCTGTGAATGGAAAATGAAAGTGAATTTCGATAGTTTACTTTACAAAATTACTTTATGAAATCACTTTATAAAATTAATTCATGAATAACTTTATGAAATCACTTTAGAAAATTAATTCATGAATTACTTTATGAAGATATGCTACATATGTATTAGTTGTGTTTTTTGAATGAGTGAAGTACCATAGTCAGGGAAGCTATAGATTACGCTGTAGACGACCCTTCCCGATATAGAAGGCCCCGACACTCTGTCAACAAAAAACTCGCCCAGTCAAAATTTGCTTTGAAAATAAACAGGTTGCTATTAAATTTCTGAAGGAGAAGCAAAAAGTCATACAAAAATACCAAGCATCCGCATATATGCAGATCAAACAAAAAAACAAAGGGAATATTTTATTCAGATCAAAGGTAAATTAGAGGAACTGAAACAAGAAGGACACACCAACAAAACAATAAAGTACATAAACAATATACCAACAATTGTATATTGTATATATGAAAAAACCAGAAATTTTCAGTAGCTTATCGTAATATTCAGTACCATACAGACATAATATACATTAATGCAAAGAGTTTTATTGCCCATAAGGATCAAAATATTGAAGAACTTATTTGTTATAATCCAAAAATACTACTCCTAAGTGAAACCCGGACAACGGAAGATTTCGAGGAAGTAGAACTGAATATAAAAAATTACAACTTAATAAGATATGATTCAAAAAGCCGTCATACAGGTGGAGTGCTAATGTATGTAAGACAAGGTATTATCGTAATAACAAAATTAACCTAGGCGTTGTATATCATTCTCCAAATGGTAACCATGGAGAATTTATTAATGATTTTGAAGAAATGTGTGATGAGATTACCACAAAAAATCAACGCTTAGTTATCGTGGGTGACTTTAATTTTGATTATTTCGTAAATAACTTTTATAGAGATAAATTTCAAGAGACAATAATGACATACGATCTGGAACAAATCATAAATGAACCAACAAGATGTACACTAACAAGTGAAACACTGATCGATTATGTAATTGACCCAAATATTTTTGCCAAAGTACACAAATTTCCAAAAATCACTGATCATGATACAATAACTATTAACATTAGAAGTAACAACAGAACAATACTATTTCTATTAGACAATAACAGGAAAGCTTCTCTACAAAAACTTCAAAATCGTGGGATGAGATTAATCCTAAAATGTAATAGATATACTTCAATAACCCAGATGTTAGAGACTTCACAGTGGCAATCAGTAACCAAAAGGTTGACTATCTCAGCAATGATCTTCATTTTTCAAATTGTCAAAGGTTTGATGCCAACTTATTTCAAACGATTCATCAAGTTTAATCATGAGGTCCACGAATACTGTACTAGAAGTGCAAACAATTTTCATGTGGATAGAGCTAAAACCAGATGGATCAAAAACACCTTACGGTTGTGACGGTGCAGTTGTTTTCAGTCGCAGACCCAGGACAGGGATGTCAACCTGCCTAGGAACTTAAGCGGAAGTTTACACTATTGAATTGTGTGCGGAGAGATTGGAAGAATCCAACCTCATACACAAGTCATACACAAGTCCTCGATAGAAAGACTTAACAGATTGTCTCTGGTCTGGATTCCTCGCCATACTGGCCTGAAAATCAATGCTTGCAGCACCCTCCCTTGCAAAGGAGGGTGTTGCAAGCAGCTTCATCGGAAAAGAACCTGTCATTGGCATCGCTTGCCAAACAAAGGCTGAATAACTGGATGGATTTATAGACTCCTGGCAGAATATTCCTGGATTGGCTCACTCCAAGGCATTCATTCACCCTTTGAAGCTAGATACCAAACAGTTATTGGACTACAGTAGGGAAAAACTACGATGTCTAACAGGCCTTCTTACAAGTCACTGTCATTTAAATCATCATATGCAGATACTGTCGGAAGACAGTGTGTGACGCCTCTGTTTGGAAAATGATGAAACAGCAGGGCACATACTTTGTGCCTCCTCGCTGGGGACCAAATCAGGTTTTTAGAGTTCGGCAGAGCCTTACCCTTACCATCTGACCTGAAAGACCACTCACTACACAAACTGATTGGCTTCGTTGAGAAGCTAGGTTTATTTGGTCGAGTGTAAATAGGTGTGGGCTACAATAAACCCTTGCGAGTTGCGGTGAAGGGTCGAATTGACCTACTCACTTCAGACCTAAGCTAACTAACCTAGCGCTCGCCCTGGATGCCTCAGCATATCAACAACCGATTAAAATTTTGAGAAAGTGTAGAAAATTGTTAGGGAGAATCGTCAAATCACTATTAGAGAAGTACCACAAGAAAACTTGCCCTTTTCCTGTAAGACATGTGCGTGAGTCTAGAAAGAATATCAATGGCTCATGTAATAGTAATAGTCCATGGGAATCTAGTATCGTTAACACACCAGCTTCTCTTCGCTCTATGAAAAAGTATATTATTGAGGGAGGAATGAAATTATCAGGTGCAGCTTATAAAGACAGGCTGCCTATATACATGGACAAGTATAATAACCTGCAGTTTTCGAGAAAATTTTTCAGCTTGAAATGAAAGACTATTATGATAAGCATCCTTATGCCGCAATTAGATATTCAACTGTTAATTGAAAATATTCTAATTTTATTTTCTTCAACAAGTCCACGGTGAGCACAGTGTTGACATTGCTCGTTACTGTCCTCAGTTTTCAAGACTTACCTCAGATTATTTAATTTTTAATTACTTTAAGTTACCTATGGATCATTATTTGCTAAAGAACGAATACATATGTCTTTTAACTCAAATGAAAAATATTTCCTTATCTGTGAGTCTGAGTATTTTTTGACTGTTTATAAACTTGAAACCCAATTATCTCAGAGAGATAATTGAAAGGAATTTTTCATCATTGCAGTGGATCCTTCATTTGTTTCGAAGAAAAATTAACGCTGCAACATTTCGATTCAAATGATCTAAATAATCGGCACACTTATTCGATTTTCATTTTGAATCGATTGAAACAAGTTTAACTGAAATAAAGAAAAATTGTTTTCTCACGAATGGCACCTAAATTTGACATAATGTATTAGTCTTTTCAACCTACCATCCCCTGTGAAATAAAATCCTGGGAACTTCGTGAAGTAGGTCATTTCGTATCGATCGTGATCGTTGTACAGACTCCTCATCAAACCAGGCCATGGTCGGGGGAAAACCAGGTAACCTTCACCTTCTCCCTTTATTTCCTTTCCCCCTTCGTCTAACAGAGCGGGTTCAACGCCAAAGAATGGAAACGCCTGGAAAAAAATTTTAGTTCAAAAATATTAAGTCACGTTATAAATATGAATAAATATGAACGGGTACTTTAATAACTTCCAACGGACATGTACCAACCATTTTTTTAAATAAGGTACCTACATAACTTCTGCAATAACTGTAAGTGAAGGTAAATCAAGTCATTCAACGAAATTTTCGTCGAACATTTTGGTCATAGTTTGAAAAATGAGGTACTGGTCAGGTTCGTCTCATTTCAAGACATTACCTCCGTTTTCAACTACTTGAGTTGTTATTGTATCTATGGAATCTATTTAAGGAAATTACAACCTGATTTGTGCTCAGGAAATTATTGATGTGTGACCCAGAATAAAAGGGAAATTCACTCTACTCAACATAGATTTGAGGCATCTGTATAGTTTTCAATACAGTGGTTCCTAAAAATGCCTAGAATGCCTAGAATTTGTGAATTCTAACAACGTAGAATGGTGACGTATCCTTGGGCCAATAAAAAATTTCAACTAAGTGAAGTTGAAATTTCCTGGTTCGTTGTCCAATATGATTCTAATATGATTTGAAATTCCTGAAAGAAAAAATGAAATTGAAATGAATAGCTGAAATTATCGATTATATTAAGCAATAAAACGTGAAATGAACTTAAAAAGAGATTTGAAACCAAGGTACTTCACGACGTTTCGCTCTTTAGTATCCACAATCGTCTTCTGGTGATGATTGGACTATTCCTCCGGGAGATGGCTATTCATGGATCATTAGAACGCTTTCACCTATCTCATCTTTCCTCTCTCCGCTTCACTGGTTAACCGATTAACTGGAGTTTTTCATTTTCCCGTATGATTACAGGTTTCCATATAAAGCGTATCTCTACGTTAGCTTGGCTGAAAGCTACTGTACAACATATATGCAGCTTCTTTGAACTTCCTCTTAAACCAGTGTTTCATTCTGTGAATGATCTCAGCTTGGAACCACTTGGCACTTGATGTTATATTGATGGGTCCAAGCATGCTCTGCTATTCCCGATTCGCTGGTTACTCCTCGCTGTGTGTTTCTCTTCTACTCGGCAAAACGAACTTTCAATGGGCTCTTAGTTTCACTGATATATAATTTGTCGCACTCACAGGGTATCTGGTGCAATTCTAAGAATCACAGTCCGCGTTTGCTGAGGCTGCCATGGATGGAGTTTCTGGATCTGAAGCGAGTTCAGATGTTGTACTTGGACCAAATACTTCTATTATTTCCAACAATCCTCTGACGTGGGGAAGGGCAAGCACTGGTTGTGACGGCTTCTCTTCCTTTTGAGGCTCTTGCTGTCTTCTAGCCAAAATCTGTTCCACCATCACTTTGGAGTAACCATTTCGTTGAAGATCTTTTTTGATGATGCCTAGTTCCTTTTCGAGACCTTCGGGCCCGAAATCACGGTCTACTAGAGTCTTGATGATTCCTCTGTTAGTCTCTCAGTCGATTGATGGTTGTTAGTTTCCTGGTTAAGAGACTGTCCCGTGCGAGTGGGATTTTGGTATACAGATGTTTCCCATTTAGTATCGTAACGTCGTGGAGTAACTTAGTTTGATTTTTTTTAATTATATTTTTGATTGTTCCATTTTAATTTTTTTGCCTATTTTTGTTCTATTCTGATTTCATTTCAGACAATGACACTTCTAAACATAAGTGAAATTATTCTACAACTTACCGCTGCTCCAGGTTTCATGGGCGTTGCGCCTGGTAAAGGAGTCAAAACGTGTCCACCAGTTTCCGTTTGCCAGAAAGTATCGACTATTGAACATTTCTCATGACCCACTAGTGTGTAATACCACATCCAGGCCTCTGGATTTATTGGTTCTCCTACGGAACCTAATACTTTCAACGTAGATAAATCGTGCCTGAAAGGAAACAATTAGTACAATTCATCAACTCTAAACTTATTTTTTGGGATGAAATATATAAGACGGCTGTACCAATCTATATATGGAAAGCTATAAACATTGGCATAGGTGGTATATTACATATTCTTATCTTATTTGGGACACTTGTTATATTATTATTTAAAAAGTTATCAAGTTATCAAAGAACGTTACATATTCATTCATGAAGTGTTATTGATACGAAGTGAATCAGAAAGATTATAAAAATCGAAAATAATCGAATAGAAAGTTCGAACAGAAATCAAAATCATTTTGATGACTTTGTTTCGAAGAGACACAGATGTATTGAGAAAATTCAAAAAATTTCAGAAATATTACTTTCCCGGCTAATACTACGATGGACATTGTATATTCAAATCGAATCAAATGTCTCGGAGTATAAGTCGGAATAATCATCTTCTCACCATTTTGTATCTTTCCTCTACACCACCATCTGACTGATTTTCATTTCTATTATAGTTTTGGCATATTCAATATATTTTCCCCATTCGGAGATTTGTTCACGAAATGAAGTCAATATTCTCAAGAAATTTTGTCTTAGATAAAGGATTCGTATCAACGGTCAAGCTACGATGAAGTTAGTCGAGTCCCGGGCACATTGTTGTCTTGATTGTATCTGCCCTGCACTGATGAGGTAAAACACCCCAAAACGTGAAAAACAAGAAGTATCTGCAAGACTTTTCTCCGTGGAGAAATTTACAGAAATATTTGTCGTATATAGTTCAATATCCATCGTGATATTAGCCAGGGACGTGGTTATTTTGCAGTAGGAATTGTCCAGATTCTATTGTGGAGGGTCGTTGTTACATCCCCATACCCCGATGAGGGGTAGAAAGAATGAACTTGAAATCTAAAAGTTTCAAGTTCAGCTATCAAGCAGAGCACATGAATATAGCAATTAGTATCTTGACGAAACGTCGTGATGATGTTAAGGACGAACGGATGTATACCCGAGATGACACATCCGTTCGTCTTTGATACAATCACGACTCTTCGGCAAGATCGCACTTGTCATATTCATGTGCTCTGCTTGGTAGCTGAACTTTTAAACATAAGTCGAAATATTCATTGATAATTATCTTCACGTTTAGTCAACACAGAAGTTTTTCTTACTGAATTTGAAGATAGTATTTATACATGTCTCTCTCTCTCTCTCTCACTCTAACAAAAATATACTCCCTATTTGATTATTTATCAAATAAATAATTATAATTTATTGACTTTCATAGGAGAAATATAGAATTGTTTCAGGTTCTACAAACTTTTGCAGACCAAAAAAACTTTCTGTTGGTGATGAAAACCCAAATTTGTAAAAAAAATTCAGATTTTTGTGTAGGAATAATCTTCAAATTTACCTAGAATCTGCTAATATACGTGTAAAAAGTGATAAGAAACTGATAGCAATTTGCCTTCATTGCAATTAGATATTGTCAAAATTTCAAAATCTTCCTATGTATACGATTACTTTTCCATAATATTTCATAAAATGAATCACAACGTTTTAATGTAGCATGCAATGTATTCTGAACATTGATCTATGAAAAATGCGTGACGACGGAATTTTAGTCAAAATATTAGGTCATTTGTTATCAAAAAAATATTGGCAAGAGACAATAGAGTTATGGCTTCAAGTATAACAATTAGAGATTGAATATTCAAAATAGGGCAGAATCGGACCAGAAATCTGTTCTTCCGTGAAATTGAGTAAACATTTGACTCACTTTTTGACTAGATCATCTTCAAACTTCATCAATGTTCTGATTGCTGTTGGGGCAGTATAAAACTGATTCACCTTGTACTTATCAGCTACTACCCAGAATCTGTCGTTCTTTGGATAAAATGGAGTGCCTTCATACTGAAAAAAAAACACACTCATCTACAGAAAATAGGTCAAAGACTATGGAATTATATCAATGGAACGGAACTTTTTTCTTGATGATAAAACTTACAAAAATATTTTATCCTTTTATCCTTATAATATAGAAATTGAAATATTTCGAAATCTGTTGGGGTAACGGTTCTATCATAAAATTAACCTTCGAAAAGTTTGATGTGACATTCAAATCATAATACAGTAATAATATACAGTGCGTCCATAGAACAACACATAAATTCATTATTAGCTTAACAATCCTTACTTCAGAATAATTTCGTTATTGCCTGTCTTTTTGAACGAACTGACTTTTACAAGTTGTATTATTGGAACAGAGTAGTAATGATACAAAAGAGGTTTTGAAAATTCAATTTATGTGCTGCGTCGCTAGAAATAATTTAGAATTAACATTATATCTCATGAGCTTTTGAAGTAACTCAGATTGGAAATTTCACGGCTTGAGGGCCTGCAGCTTGGCCATCAGTCACTTCAATAAAATAATACAATTGTCCAGACAGGCTCATATAATCCTAAAATTGTAAGAATTTCAATCTTTTCTGCCCTAAGAACTGGTGAATTTTTGGCAATATATCTTCTCATTATTCTCTTTGAAACTATGTTGTAAAGCCTATTTGAAAGATAAAGAAAATATTTACATTATTGTGAAATTTCAATCTTTTTCTTGAAGGTTTATGGTTTGGGCCTTCGGTGGGTTTTCCCAAATACCCATTTATAATATATGAAAGGTACAGGCCCAGCCGGCCGCTTGGCTTCTCCTGTCACTCTTGAATTTTGTATCGCCTTACGCTAGTTGCACACACACCGATATTGGACGGCCGACTTTGTACCGGTCGTCCAAATTCTAATAGTGAACCACATGTGGGAACGGGACCTTGCACATACGCCGACCGGTGATCGTCGCCGGTAAAATACCGGTGAGCAGCCGTCCACTGCCACTGTATCGCCGGCAGTACCGGGAAGTAGTGGCGTACATGACTAAATACACTCTTGCGTATTCCCCGGTTTTTTACCGACCATTCCAGTCTCGAATGCTCGGTGAAATTGTAGTTACTACCCATTAACTTCGTTTTGGTAGTGCGTGCTAATTACGACAACAAAGCAGCTGATTGTTTGACCGATAAAAATTCGGTGAGTGTGCAAGCACCCGCTACCAATAAAATATCGGTCGATTTTATACTGGCCGTCCAAAATCGGTGTGTGTGCAACTAGCGAACGCGTAACGGATTTTTATCGGTCAAACAATCAGTTGCTTTGTTGTCGTAATTAGCCCGCACTACCAAAACGAAGTTAATGCGTGGTAACTACAATTTCACCGAGCATTCGAGACTGGAATGGTCGGTAAAAACCGGTGAATATGCAAGAGTGTATTTAATCATGTACGCCACTACTTCCCGGTACTGCCGGCGATTCAGTGGCAGTGGACGGCTGCTCATCGGTATTTTACCGGCGACGATCACCGGTCGGCGGGTGTGCCAGGTCCCGTTCCCACATGTGGTTCACTATTGGAATTTGGACGACCGGTACAAAATCGGCCGTCCAAAATCGGTATGTGTGCAACTAGCGTTAGAGTATATTAATTGCTCATATTTTCAATTTGTTACAAGTTTTACTAGACTTGTGCGTAACCGTCCCATGAAGTCACTTCACAATTCTTATGCACAATTGTCGGTTTTCGAATGAAATATAATTAATAAGCTAATCGTGAGTGAATCATTACGACTTATATAATTTGTTGAGTTACTGTTATTTCTACAGTTTTTAGTGTAATGTCATATTTTCTGTTCAAAGCGCACTCGTATAGCCATTAAACTGTCATATTTTGCCTTAATGGCCTTACTCAAAGAACGGATGAATTGAACCTGTCGAACTTCGCGCGATCAAACAGATATATCATGTTAGGTTAGGTCCAAAGTGAGTGGGTTTTTTCGACCCTCTATCGCAACCCGAAAGGGTTTATTGTGCCTCACCCTACACACACTCGACCAAATAAACCCAGCTTCTTAACAAAGCCGATTAGTTTGTATGGTGAGTGGTCTTTCAAGTCACATGGTAAGAGTACGGCTCTGATGAACTCTAAAAACCTGATTTAGTTCACAGCAGGGCAGCCACAAAGTATATTCTTTGCTGTTTCATCATTTTCCAAACAGAGGCAACACACACTGTGTTCCAACAGTCCGAGTCTCTGTATATGATGATTAAAATGGCAGTGATCTGAAATTACGCCTGTTGGACATCGTAGTTCATCCCTACTGAAGTCCTACAACTGTTTGGTATCAAGCTTTCAAGGGTGGATGAACGCCTTGGAGTGAGCCAATTCTGAAAGATTCTGTCAGAAGTCCATACATCTTCTAACCATTCAGATGTCCAATCTTTGACAAAGCCTAAAGCGATGCCAATCGCAGGTTCTGGTCCAATGAAGCTGCTTGCAGCACCCTCCTTTGGAAGGGAGTCAGCAGCCTCATTGCCTTCCAGGCCAGTATGGTCAGGAATCCAGACCAGACACAATTTGTTACGTTTTCCTATCGACAAGAGTCGCTTTTGGCCATTTGCTACCAATTTAGACGTTGCCTGGTAGGAGCCAAGAGCTTCAACGCCACTTGACTGTCCGAGAATATTTTTATTTGACTTGTGTTTGTAGTTGGATTCTTCCAATCTCTTCGCACACAATTCAATAGCGTAAATATCCGCTTGAAACACAATCGCATAGGTTCCTAGGCAGGTTGATATATTTGTCCTGGGTCTGCGAACAGCCACAAAGTATATTCTTTGCTGTTTCATCATTTTCCAAACAGAGGCAACACACACTGTGTTCCAACAGTCCGAGTCTCTGTATATGATGATTCAAATTGTAGTGATCTGAAATAAAGCCTGTTGGACATCGTAGTTCATCTCTACTGTAGTCCTATAACTGTTTGGTATCAAGCTTTCAAGGGTGAATGAACGCCCTGAAGTGAGCCAATTCTGAAATATTCTGTCAGAAGTCCATACATCTCCTTGCCATTCAGGTGTCCAATCTTTGACAAAGCCTAAAGGGATGCCAAAGGCAGGTACTGGCCCGATGAAGCTGCTTGCAGCACCCTCCTTTGGAAGGGAGTCAGCAGCCTCATTGTCTTCCAGGCTAGTATGGTCAGGAATCCAGACCAGAGACAATTTGTTACGTCTTCTTATCGAGAAGAGTCGATTTTGGCAATTTGCTGGGTAGGAGCCAAGAGCTTCCAACGCCACTTGACTGTCCGAGAATATTTTCATTTGACTTATGTTTGAGGTTGGATTCTTCCAATCTCTTCATACACAATTCAATAGCGTAAATATCCACTTGAAACACAATCGCATAGGTTCCTAGGCAGGTTAATATATTTGTCCTTGGTTTGCGAGTGAAAACACCTGCACCAGAACCGGAAGGTGATCCATCTGTGAACCAACAACTATCTGCTCTTAACATTTCCTTCTCCCGGAGAATGCAGTCCTCTCTGCTAGGGAACAGTACTTTATAAGGCAGTTCATAGTTGTATCATATAAGTCATGTGAGTCAAGAGGAATCCAAGCTCTTTCTCTCTTCGTTTGGCAGAATTGGAACAGGGGTATAAACAGTTCAGGAATGTTACTTGCATCAAGTTCCTTCTAAAATATTTGGCATCAGTTGTCTTTTCAAAAATTTTCCTGGGAAATCCTTCTTAATGACTTCATGACCCAAATCATCGTTAAATATTTTTGGAATAAATTGAACACATTTTACATTTTGTGAGGTTATGCTCAAATCCATGGTTCACTCAAATATTGCCACTCATCTAATGATATCTCTCAGGCTATCAACAGTATTTCGGTTTATTTCCCCATCACCAGGAAACGAACTATTTGGTCAGAATAATAAAAAGTGGCTCAAGATCGAAATCGTCTTCCAAAATCGTGTTCCTTATCAATTCCAGAATTGTTGAGGTGTTGCCTCAGCTTAAAAAGTAACACAGTGCTACATACGTAGTAAATATGTTTTAGTGCATACGGGAATTCATATGTAATGACAATCAAAAGGCATACATCAAAAGAGATCCGAGGAAAGTTCCGGTGGAGACAAATTAAAAGGCGGATGGGGTTCAAGGTGATTTCCTACATTCCATAGTAAGTTATTTACGGATTTTCAAATATTTGAACTCAACGAATGAAAAGTTAATGAATGCAGACCTATTAACATCGAGAATATTTGGAATATTCATGTGCAACTTTCGTCACAAGTAACAATTGATACAGATATTTGTAACTATATAAAAATGAATTGACTTTATATATGGTTGGGTGCCAAAATTATGTGCTATTGTTTGGTAGAAATATGAGATTTTCCATACAATAAATGAATCTTTAGCGAAATCTCTACGTTTTTGTTTCTGCTTGATCAAGCTCAGTAGTCATTGTTTTTCGTAGGCTGCACCTATATTGAATCCGTATTTCTCCCGACCCGATGTGGGACGACCATCGGACGCTCCGCGGTCCGATGCCGTCCGGTGTAACTGCCTACAATGGACCCGATAGGTTGACAGTTGAAGTTGTGTTTTGGGGTAATTATGACTCTGAAGATGATTATTTGTGGTGGCTTGTACAAGAAAAGAATGTTCTCCTCAATAAGAGAAGTAGGAAAAAGGTATGGTTGCATCAGTTTAATGAAGATAAATCTGAAGGCGAATTTTTCAAAACTTCTCTACTTATAAGAAACTACCCGGATAAATTTAAGGACTACCATCGTATGACTATGGAAACGTTTAACTATATTCTTGAAAGCATAAAAAACGACATAACTGGCCAGTCTAACTTTAGAGCATGCATCAGCCCTTTTACCAGTAAATGGTCCCCAATAATCTCCTATAGTTTAGGCTCAATATCACTATTATGGTAATCCTTGCTTCGCTGGTCCCACAAGCGAGGCTCATCTCCCAAAAGAATTATCAAAAACTCAATTTTATTATTCATTATTATACCACTCTGTCGGAATGAAAGATCTGACTAAAAACAAACACTTTTGATTTGACTACTCGTCGGTCACTAATCGGTAGTGATCGTTTATTGTCGTATAGGACTACTTTTTCCAATGAAGACACCTACTTTAAAACGTAAGTGTTTGTTTTTCTTCCGATGTCGTCCGATGGTCGTCGGGTCGGGTCGGGAGAAATACGGATTCAATATAGGTGCAGCCTTGACGTACTCGCTCCCACTATTTCACAATTTTCATGGAGGCTCTGAAAAATCACGAAGGGATTTCTCATACGACGACACTTCTTGCTATTGAATCTTCCATAAAGCTTATAGCCTCTGGTTTTCCATTTTCACATCTCCCATATTTTTTTTAACCTTGCTAATGCTTCACATTCACATAGCACGTGTGGTGCGGTTTATTCCTCATCCTGCCAGAACTTACGTCAGGCCAGTCCCTTCACGAACTTTCTCATCTGCCTCATTCCTGGAAGCTTGTTACACCAATGTAGACATTTGGCTTGATAGATATCTTTATATTTGTCTTCACCAGCCCACAAAAGTGTTCCGGACCTATTATGGCGGCTTTTGACGCACCTTTACGGGTTGAAGTATTCGCTTCCGCATTGCCCTTATATCTTTCGTTTCTGGGTATCCAGTCTAGAATATTGTGAGAATCTAGCTCATTGAGTGCGCTAAGACAGCTCCCTACAAGTCGCGAAAAGAGCCTAGGAGCTCAGCGTCAGCTACCTGGCTGTCAAAGGAAATGACAATAGTCTTGTTCCAAACCTTCTTTCTGGGAAAGTCTCCTACGTAGTGTTTGTTAACAGCAACTTCTGCCTGAAACACTTGCGTTCTGTTCGAGGCTGATAGCAATTCTTGTTTTCGCTCTGGCTCCGTATGAGCCGGATCCTACTTCTACTAGGATGTTTGAGCTGTTTCTGAACTTTTTCCGCTTTAAATGGTGGCCTTCATTTCGTTGTACAACTTCATGTTTTCTTTCTCGTGCGACTGGCTTATTGGAGTTGGTTTCTACATCAGCCTGTGTATCATCATTGAGGCTCCTCTTCAAATATGGATATGTATTGGTGAAAGGCCAAGGAGAACCTCGAGAGCTGCAGTTGGGGTGATCCTCATGGTTTTTGTGACACTCAGGTATGCCAACTATTAAATGAAATTCACCTAGTCGTCAGCCGTGTCTTTGTTCGTGTCCACCATACTCGTATGTTATAATAAGTATAACAACCCTAGTATATAACCATAGTGTAATTTTAAGATTCAGTCCCCAGTTTGTTCCGCACAATCTTCGACAGATTCTCAAGGCCATCGTGGCCGTATGGGCTGTTTTTTGGAGGTGAAGATTCCACGTAAGTCTATGATCGAAAGTCACCCCCAAGTATTTGACTCCGGTGGCAAATGGATTCACCGCTTCGTTGAGTATCGTTGGTTTCAGTCCACTGGTTACTTTTTTTTGTGAGAGATTATTATACTCACACAACCTCTCGACTATATTGAGAGCCTCCTGCGTGCGTTCTGATATAACTCTGGCAAATTTGCCCTTTCTGACTACCGACAGATTGTCCGCATATCCTAGGCAACGAAAGCCTTCTTCTGATAGCTTCCTGAGGAGGTCGTTTGCTAACCTAACCTAACCTAACAAAATTTTTGATGTCACTGATTAATTCTCTCCTAGTAGATATGTTCCATAAAAAGTTGACCACATATTAGAATATATAATGAATACTTTCGAATATTCACATACAATACTCGTGAAAATGAATTTATTAGGTACATATAAATGAAATAAGTATTTGCGATGAATAAATATCTGCTAGAAGTTTTGTGGTGGCCGTGGTAGTGGATAAACGTGCTAACAACGTCCGTCCACAAAGAAGGTGCGCCGATGCCATGTGCTATCATGGGGTTTCGTATTGTACTGTGTGAGTCCTTTGTGGTGATTCTTGAAATGTGTGAGAGTCTTTTAAAAAGTTGAAGAATAAGGGGCTCCCCTCATTCACGCCAATATCCACGCCGGAGTGGTTTGGATAGCCACATATAGGGGGCTGTATACGTGAAAAAAAATGAAAAGGTCTCCCTTCGAGCAAGACCACAGTACCCCCCGACGAAGCGTTTGTCAATCTAGATAGGAAGATCCTGACCAAATGCGTTCGAGTGGGAAGCAACGGCCACTAATAACCTACTAGTTATTACAGGAGCGTATTCACGGTTTCGCTTTGAAGGCACCAATATCCAATATAAGTTGTAGAGCTGAAGGAGCAATTTTCCTTACCAGACTGTGGTAGAAGATTTTAGTAATAACTGGAACACTTGTCCATGCTTTCAGAAAACAATTTCTTTTGAGAAATTAAACTAATCAACAGAAAGTTTCGCGTCCCGTAAAAATTATTCAAAAGTTCACATAGGTCTTTACACTGGTGTAAACCTCGAAGTACGAATGCAAATGTGCAGTGATGCAAATGAACCCAGGCTTGTGTTTGATAAACCCTACAAAATACAAATAAAACAGATGCTACAAATGCAATACGCATATATACAGACGGCTCAAAAACCAAAGGAGGCTCAGGATGTGGAGTGTACTCCAGATCACTGAGTGGATTAAGGATTAAGTGGGAAATGGGAAAAATAACAGCGTGGTCCAAACACAACTGGCTGGTATCTCAATCGCCACAAAAGAAATAACCAGAAAAGAAATTTCTGCAAAAACATAATCTGCACTGATAGCAGACAAGCCCTATTACCCTTGAACAGACAACGTGTTACCTCAGGGCTAGTAGGTACTAGAGTGCCCCCAAGTACTAGAGTCAGAGCATCGGTAGATAATAACATTTTCCTGAGGTGGGTTAAGGGGCACGACAGAGTGGCGGGGGGTCACTGTCTCTCTCTTATGGGTGTTTGACAGTCCTCCGGTGCAGACCAATTCATAATATGGGGCTAGTGGACACACCTCTATGCAGGATGTGTGAACAGGAAGATGAGACTGTCAGGCATGTCCTGTGTGAGTGCCCGGAGTTATCGTCAATAAGAGAGTGTGTGTTCGGCGAGTCTTCGCCTACACCTGCCGATATAAAGGAGATGTCTCCCGGAGACGTGTCCACCTTCCTGGAAAGTACAGGATGGACGATGACCTAGGAGGACAACTCATTGAGAGGATGTACAATGGGTCACATGTGGCGCAACAATATTGAGTAGATACAGCGTTATCACGGTACTTTAAAGATTTATCATTATAAATAATGACTGTTAAACATTTACATATTCAAAGCTTTTTCGAAGTCAATTACTACTCTTATCTGTTCCAATGAGTTTCCCAACTTCTATTTTATTATCACGAAAAGAGATACTAATCATTTGTTCAAGTGGTTTTATAACGCTTCTTGATGAAAGTTAATCTATATAAAACCCATTGAAGTACAGATGACATGAAAATTAATGGAAAATATAAATCAGAAACTCTCAAATGAAATGAGATTTTGTAAAAACAATTTGTGAAAACAAAAAATGTGACTTCAAATATGACAGAACTGACAGATACTTGATAAAATCCACTATAACGCATTCAAAATACACACTTCAATATGAGATTTCCACTAGATAAAACCGCGAAACTTGTTTCGCTATACAATAGTATCTTCGGGCGTTACAATTCGTTTCTTGAACGTTAAATGATATAGAAGTAATAGTTACTCTACGTGAAGGTTACCACAACATTTGTCTATAGGCAAAAACTTATTCTTGATGTGCACCTTTTATTGTCTACCTTTAAAAAAATAAGCCAAGCGTAACTCTTATTTTTATTATCTACAGATACGGTACAAAAAGGCCCCTGGTTGATGTTGATATGATATTTAGTAATGTTATTGACTACGAGAACAAAAATAAGACAAATCTGGAATGACTTTTTTGATGTATTTGACAAATTATAAAAAATGTATTTCTATAAAATTATAAATGAGCAAACACAACCTCTGAAGCCTGAAAATTCTTTATATCACAAAAATTTGGTCTGAGTGTTTCAACCATCCACTGTATCACAAGTTATTCTAATGGAGGAGAATAGCCTATTGATTCAAATATTTCAATATAAATAATAAATGGAAGACTTACCAATACTGAAGTGGCAGCATTAGCCAACGGACCATACACGACGTAGGTATGCCCAGTAATCCAACCTATATCGGCAGTACACCAATAAACGTCATTAGGTTTGTAATCGAAGACGTATTTAAAAGTTGTTGCGGCATATATCATATAACCTCCGGTCGTATGTAGAACCCCCTTAGGTTTCCCCGTAGACCCGCTTGTGTACAACATGAAGAGAGGATCTTCGGCTTCCATCCATTCTGGGTAACAGCTGGTTGACGCTTGTGGAACTACGTCGTCCCAGAATATGTCTCTTCCAATCGTCATAGGAGTCTTAAAATTGAACATTCACGTTTAGTAAGATCTTCAGTCATATAAAAAAAAATCTATGAATTGGGGTAACATGTGCATTTTGGGCATCCAAGATGAAATACTTGGAATGAAGAAACAGTGACTCGGTTTAAATGATCATTTATACAAATATACCGCCCAATTTCGATTACTGTGCTACCCTACTATTGTGCTTGATGCAAATTGCATATCTCCATTGAAGAATGAGGGAATGAAGAATGAGGGAATGAAGACTACGCCCCGTGAGGACTTTGCTGTTAGTACTGAACTGGTTTTCTTTCAAGAATATCCACGACTATCCCATAAGAAACAATCGTGAATTACATGTTTCTCGTACCTATCATTCCTTAATTCATAAAGGTCTTTTGGAATACAATTATCTTCCAGCAAGAGACAATCNAAGTACTTTTTCAGAAATTTTAAAATGTGAACTGATGGATCACTTGAAAGCAAAATTATCATAGGATATCTTTTTATGACTAGCTAGTGTTGCTTTGAATTGCTTTAAATCATATATAGAATTATCATACAGTGGGGGGGCCCGAAAACAAAACAGTTCGAATATCTAATATCTCCAAAACACATGTTTTCTGAAAAAAAAGGCAAAAGCACGTCGATTTGTAATCCAAGAGGAACATCTTTCTATCATAACCTCAACAGTCACATCTCTCCCCCCCCCCTCGGTCACTATCACCCAAACAATTCGAATAGAGAAAGAAGTAAGTGTGACAACATCATTAAAAAGGTATAATTTCATGAGGAATCAGGCCATGTCAATTTTCGGTACCTTATTTTCTATTTTTGGCGTCCTCTTGCGGAAAAATAAACTGTTCCGTATTCCAAATTATGATACTTCATTTGCAATTTGATATAAATTCGGTGACAGTGCATTATGGAATTTTTTTAAGGAATAAAACAAAACGTCGGCTCCACAATGGCGGACAAGATTTGTAATTATGGTGCGATTTGATCCAAAGTTGATGAGTGGTGGTTTTCAGGGTCGGAAATTATGATCTGTTTGTCAATGCAAAAACAAACAATATGATGGCTCTAAGATGGCGGACGAAATTTGTAATTATGATCCGATTCGAATCAAAATTATTATGTGGGAATTTTCAGGGTAGAAAATTATGATTGTTTTATACGATACAAAAAACAAGATGGTGAACGATATTTGGAATTGTGGTTCGATTCGATTCAAAATTGGCATATGGGGGTTTTACAAGTTTCCAGTATGACTGAAAAGAATTAATTAAAACGACATAATTTTGAATATATATATTTTTTGATGTGTGACGTAATGTGCCAATTTGAAAAGTTAGGTATTCAAATTGTATGAGTGACCAAGGGGTGAGGAGAGAGGTATAACAGTTGAGGTTACGACAGGAAGATGTCACCCTTGGATTTGAAATCGACGTGTTTTTACATTATTGTCACAACACATTTGTTTTGAAGAATTCGTTTTCGTTGCCAGGTCGAATCATACCATAATCACAAAATTCTTCCTACCCTGAAATCCCCACATACTACTTTTGATTCGAGTCCGACCATAATTACAAATTTCGTCCGCCATCTTGGAGCCACCATATTGTTTTTTGCATTGACAAACAAATCATAGTTTTCGGCCCTGAAAACCACCACTGATCAATTTTGAATCAAATCAGATCATAATTACAAATTTTATCCGCCACTGTGGAGTCGCCATTTTGTTTTTTCCTCCAGAAAAATTTCATTATGCATTGTCAACGAATTTATATCAAATTAGCTTTCAAATTAAGTATCATAATATGTAATATGCGAGATGGCTTCAATATAGAAAGTTAGGTAGCGAAAATTGACGTGGACGAATTCCTTATGAAATTATCTTTTTAATGGTGTGTCACACTTACTACTTTCCTCATTCAAACTGTTTGGGTGATAGTGACCGAGGGGTGGGGGGAGAGGTATGACAATTAAGGTTATGAAAGAAATATTTCCTCATTAGATTACAAATCGACGTCTTTTAGCATTTTTTTTTCTCAGAAAACATGTGTTTTGAAGATATTCGATCTGATTCTTTTTCGGTGTCCCACCCTGTATATTGTCCCTTTAGTCACTATCCTCTAAATCGTGAATGAAAGTCGGGATGCCTATTCAAATACAGATTTATAATTATCATGTTATAAAGTTTTGATAAGTATAAATTTGATACGTATTAAATGAATGTAATTTGTTACGATAGAGATAACAGGTTGTTTTTATGTTTCCGATGAAGATAAATTAAACAATGAGTTTTCAAGTTTCCACTAATACATATGTGCTTATAGGTACTTTGTTGAATCATTTCATTATTTAGAGAGTCTCTTTTTAATCAGGTACGTGCTATTTCTCACCAGCATCAAAATTACTACTTCAGGAACAGAAAAAACTTCATGACATGCGAGAGAAGTTTTTGCAGGAAAATTAACATCAATAGTACATCATTCATAATCAGCGTAACTGTCAACAAGTCTTTTAATCGAGTCTCATAGTCTAATCTAGTCATAGTCTAATTCAGAAGTCAAACCTGCATCCAACTTCAGCTAAGGTCAGCTAATAGATCCCCAGATAATCTTCAGCAACACCTAAGGTATACCCGATGTATNGTTTCGGTTTCGGTCGTAGTTTCGGCAGGTTTGCCGCCGAAACCGAAACTAAACGGAAACCAGTTTTTTTGCCGAAACTCGACCGAAACCGAAACCTAAACCGAACTTTCGGTCGGACACTGTTGCGCTTGATATTTCTAAGGCCTTTGACCCTATGTGGTATGAGGGTTTTCTGGATCAATATTGTCTTCAATTCTCCTTTTATTGTATATTAACGACTTATTGAAAACAACATATATTGTTTTTTTGACGATACCACACTTGACTCCTCATTCCATTTGGATTCCAGGACATCGGCTACAGATGCACTTTTCACCGACAGCAGGAAGTTGCATATCCCAATGGGGATCTAGAAGTGATTTCGAAGTGGGGTGAAAGTAACAAGGTTCAATTCAATGCCACAGAAACCCAGGCATCGGTTTTCTCCAGAAAAATAAATGTCTCCGAACCGGACTCACTTTTGTTGAGAAAACTTCTACAGACTAAAGTGTACTATTATATCAATACATTTTTTGATGACTCTCTTCAATAGATTTCACCACCAAGTAAAGAAATAGAAAAGAAAATCAATATTTTTTTAGAATGTTAAGTACTCAGTTTCAATATGCAATATGCAAATGCAAACGCAATATGCAATATGCAAACTTTCGTTTGATTAAAAAAATTATTGAACTTTCTTTCTCCTATGCTCTTCGAGCAAAACTTGTCATTTTCAACTAAATTATGTATATTCCGAATGTAGTTTCTCGGAAACAAAATTTGTCTTGTTTCCTGATATATTCAATGATTTTTCCATTAATCTGTTTCGATTCTATGACAATGCTCTTTCAAAACTGTACATTTCACCATGTATTAGCAGAACTGTTTTGTTTGACCTTTCCTCACTTTCATCTTTCTAATCTGTGTAATGTACTGGAATCAATTACATACCTTGTTGCTCCTATATTGCGTTCCTAAAGGCGACGTTACTCTACAGAGATGAGACACAACTACACAAGTTTCTACATTGTGTCCTTTTTGTGCACATTTCAGCATAGCCTGATCACAGATAGATTTCAGCTGCAGTAATTTTTCACCTCTCCAAGCCCCATCTGCCGTTACCAAAACACGGGCTTCGCAATCAGCAATTCTTTCGGCCAGGGAATCAGATGAGAATCCTGCAAACTGAAACAAAGATAAGAAACTTGCATTTGTTTGAAGGTGATTGACAATGTTTCATGATGAATTTCACTAGTTCGGACTTCCATTGTCTACTATATAGAATGATTTGAAATCCCTGAAACAGTTGCCTTGGAAAACGATTGCATCATTTAATAAACAACTTGACAGCTGTTGTCAACTTTATCTGTATCTAAAGAATCGTCTGTTAAATTTATGGTTCATACTTAATTAACACCCTGTATAGTGCAACCTACCATTCAACAGCTCCACTTTATTAATATAGTTGGAGAACTAACTAATTCCGTTATTCAATAATCATTTTTTATTATATAAGAATCACAATAACTAACGTATTCAAAAAACACTTTAATTGTGAGAATTCCACTAAACGATTTTACAAAAACGCAACACGTTTTCGCCATACAATAACTTCTTCGGGCGTTTTTTTACTAACTGTTAGTGAAACACTTTCAAAAACACTTCACTAACTTCCTATGTTTTTTGAAATTACTATGGATCTTCATTAAGTAACGGCTGAATCAATCAGAAAAATAATAAGGAAGTTTGATCTGCCTCTTGAAGATGATCACTTGGTGATCGAAACACGTATGGATGTGTCAAAATAACGGTTTAGTGTTGAGAAAAAATCCAGTAATATTCATTACTACACCAAAGGTTTCAAACAGTGCATAACAAACCAGAAATTTAACAAAATATCTCACCACAACAGAATGTATGGCTCCTATCCTGGCGCAAGCCAGGAACGTTATCACAGCTTCCAGAATCATGGGCATGTATATGGCAACTCTATCCCCTTTTTGCACACCCTTACTTTTCAAAACATTAGCGAAGCGGCATACTTCTTCCAACAGCTTTTTGTAAGTCAAGCGACTGTAATCATCAGGATGGTTTCCTTCCCTGGAAATAAAAGTATGGTAACTAACGTTGAAAACTTTATTGAACTTCATGAAAGATTTATTAATTAGATAGAGAAAAATATTCAAATTGAATAGTATCCTGCTCACTCACACGATAATCCTCAGTGAATCAAGACAAATGTTTCAATATCAGATACTATTCTGTGCTGCTCATCCACAAAATATACAGCAGGTAAAAGCATCTAATTTCACAGATTTTTATTGAATATTTACCAACCGTCATTGAAAAAATGAATGAAGCAGACAACAAGTAGATAGT